AAGCAGCGTGTCATGTGACCGAGTGTGCGAGGAGCCAGCAAGGAGTCAATGGGTGTGCGAGGAGTGTGACGTGGAGTGTGCAATGGGTGTGCGAGGGGTGAGTGAGTGTGCAAGAGGTTAATGAGCGTGCAGGGGGTTAATGAGTGTGTGAGGGGTTAATGAGGGTGCAGTGGGCTAATAAGGTAACGGGCAGGGCGCCGGGTGCAAGGGGCACGGGGGGGGGCAGGGAGGAGCAGGTGTCCCCCCCACACGTGTGTCCCCCAATGCACACGTGTCCCCTCCCCTGTGTCCCCCCGCACACACGTGCCCGCCCATGCACACGTCCACTCCCCCACGTGTCCCCCCCATGCACACGGGTGTCCCCTCCCACGTGTACCCCCATACACGTGTCCCCCCATGCACACGCATGTCCTCCCCATGCACACGTGTGTCTCCTCCCCCCCTGTGCACACGCGTGTGCAATGGTGCCCCCCCGACAGATGGAGGTGACAGGAGGGACAAAGGGGACATGGTGGCAATTCCCCCCCCAGCTCAAACCCACCCCCAAAATGGGGGGAACAGGGAGGACAAAGACAATGGGGACAATGGCGCATGGGGACATGGGGCAGCCGGACCGGCCTCTGCCACCCTGGGGCTCCCGGTGCCACCTCGTGTCACCGCCCGGTGTCACCCGGCAGGACCCGGGGCCACCCCCGGCGGTGCCACCCCTGGCCCTGCGTGTCCCCGTCCCCACCAGTGTCCCCAGCCCATCCCTGTCCCCAAGGGGTCCCCAACACAACCCCCCATCCCTGCCCCCTTGGGGGTCCCCTGTCCCCGCCGTCCCCACAGGGTTCCCAGCTCCTCTCCCTGTCCCCACCCCAAGCGTCCCCATTTGCTCCTGTCCCCAAGGGGTGCCCGGCCCCATCAGTGTCCCCAACCTGTCCCCATCTCCATGGGTGTCCTCACCCTGTCCCCAAAGTTGTCCCCAGGGTGTCCCCATCCCACCCGTGTGCCCAAGGGGGGGTCTCCATCCCCACTGTTGTCCCCATCCCGTCCCTGTCCCCATCCTGTCCCCTATGCAGGTGGCAGGTGCCGTCACAGCGATGCCATGGTGGGGGGTGACATGGGTGCTATGGGGGTGACATGTGGGTGTCGGGGGGTGACATGTGGGTGTCCGTGGGTGGTGGCACTTACAGGGTGACGGGGCGGGGGTGGCGCCCGGGGGGCCACCTTTGGTGTCGGCCACCGGTAGAGGCACCGGCCGGGCCACCAGCGGGGGGGGTGGCACCAAGGGCCCCCCGGGGACACTGGGGACGGTGCCGCACGGCTGCAAGGACAGAGAGGGGACAGGGACCCCGTGTCCCCAGGGGGGTCCTGGGACGGGCTGGCACCGTGTCCCCAAGGTGACACKGGGGCCTGGGGGGTGGCACCGTGTCCCCAAAGGACCCTATGGCACCAGGGTGGCACCATGTCCCCAAGGTGACACTGGGGCCTGGAGGTGGCACCGTGTCCCCAAGGGACCCTATGGCACTGGGGGATGGGGGAGGGGGCCGCTGCAGGGGGTGACCCTGTGTGACCCCACAGGTTGACCTGTCCCTACCCTGGGCTCATTTGCATACAGGCCCCACCCACCTTATTTGCATAGCCTCACCCTAATGCAGGTGCAGGCACCACCTCTGGTGTCTCATTTGCATGGAGGCAACGCCCCCATTGCAACTCATCTGCATACAGCACCAGCCCTGCCCCTAGTGCCTCATTTGCATACAGGCTCCGCCCCTCTGCTGCTGCTCCCCGAGTCTCTATAGAACCCCCTTATCCTGATGTCCCCCTGTTGTCCCCCTGCTGGTCACAGTGTCCCCAGGAACCCCGGGGGGGGGGATGGGGACAGACCCCTGGGGAGGACAGACAGACACAGGGGGACAGTGACAGCGTCGGGGGGGGGCACCCGGCCATGCATCCCCGTGCGTGTCCCCAGGTGTCCCCATGCGTGTCCCCACCAGCCCCGTGCCCGTCCCCACGTGTCCCCAAATGCTCCTGCCCCCCTGACGTGTGTCCTCACAAGGACCTGTGCATGTCCCATGTCCCCAGGTGTCCCCATACATGCTCACGTGACCCCAAGTGCCCCCATGACCCCGCTTGTCCCCC